CACCCACATGGTGTACTGACCAAAATGAATCCATTTTGGATAAAGTAGCCATCGTAGAAGCTTAGCCATAGTGTATTTCTAGCTCAAGGATTTTGTGTGTGTGTGTGTGTGTGTGTGTGTGTGTGTGTGTAGGTATTTTTTTGTTGTTCGGTTTTGTTGTTTGTTTTTTGAGACACAGTCTCCCTGTAGCCCCAGCTGGCCTGGAACTCCCTATGTAGACCAGGCTGGCCTTGAACTCATAGAGATCCACCTGCCTCTGCCTCCCAAGTGCTGGGATTAAAGGCATGTGCCACCACACCGGGCGTATGTGTGTGTATTGCCTGTATGTAGGTAAGTGCACCCATGTCTTGCAATGCTGGAGGAGGACAGAAGAGGCTTGTCAGATCCCTTGGAACTGGAGTTACAGAGAGTTGTCTGCTGTGTGGGTGCTGAGATTTGTACCCGAGTCTTCTGCAAGAACAGTCAGTGTTCTTAACCACCAAGACATCTCTCCAGCCCCTCAAGGATTGTTTTTAAGAAACCCTGGCCCCTTTCCCCCTTACCTCCCAGGAAAATGCTGCTGCAGCCATTTGCTTTCTAGACATACAGAAAACAAAATTGTTATGATATGACCAACTGCTAATTGTGGCTTCTGTAACTTGCTTGTTTTGCTATTTTAGGGCACCTTGACATGTAGACCATGACCACCCTGTTATTTGGGGACCACCTTGTCAACATTCCTTTTGTGGTTTTTAGCTTTAAAAGTTTAAAGGGTCCCCTTTCACTCCCCCTCCCGACTGCAGCACTCTAACCCAATACAGAGACTGCAGTCCAAGCTAGCTTGAATAAATCTTTTATCCTGATCTGAATTGAGTCTGGTGGTCTTTTCTCCGTAGTCTCGGGCTCCGTAACAATGATGCCTAACAACCATCAGTAACTCCAGTTCCAGGGGATCTGATGCCTTCTGACCTTTTCAGGCACTGCATGACACCAGTGCACTTAAAATACATGCTGGCAATACACTCATACACATAAAATAAAAATAATAAGCTGGGTGTGTTGGCACACGCCTTTAGTCCCAACACTAGGGAAGCAGAGGCTGGTGGATCTCTGTGAGTTCAAGGCCAGCCTGGTCTACATAGTGAGTTCCAGGACAGCTAGGGCTACAGAGAGACCCTGTCTTAAAAAGACAAAGAAAAAAAAAAAAAAGACGAAAATAAATAAATAATCAAAAAAAAAATTTTTTTTTTGGGGGTCTTTTTGAGACAGGGTCTCCCTGTAGCCCCAGCTGTCCTGGAGCTCACTATGTAGACCAGGCTGGTCTTGAACTCACAGAGATCCACCTGCCTCTGCCTCCCGAGTGCTGGGATTAAAGGTGTGCACCACCACGCCTGGCTAATCAAAAAAACTTTTTAAAATAAAATTATGGGTTGATTGGAAACTGGGTGGTGGTGGGGGGGTGCCTTTAATCCTAGCAGATACAGAGGCAGGTAGATCTCTGAGTTCTTAGTCTACACAGCAAGTTCCTGACCAGTCAGTGCTACAGAGAGAGACCATGTCTCAAAAATAAGTAAGGGGCTGGAGAGATGACTCAGTGGTTAAGAGCTGCTCTTGCAGAGGACCAGGGTTTGGTTCCCAGGACTCACATGGCAGCTAACATTTGTGACTTCAGTTTCAGGGGATCTGATGCCCTCTTCTGGCCTCCACGGGCATGTCACAACATGGATGCACTTACATACAATACAGGCAAAACACTCATACACATAAAATAAAAACAAATTTTAAATAAATAGGACCTGAAGAGACAGCTCAGCAGTTAAGGGCATTTGCTGCTCTTACAGAGGAACCTAGTTAGGTTCTCAGAAGCACCCACACGGTGGCTAAACAACTACCTGTAACTCCAGTTCCAGCGAGATCCCCCACCCTCTTCTGGCCTCCACTGGCATTGCATGTACATGGTGCACTTATATTTAGGCAAAACACTCATCCATACCTGTCTATATTTACCAGTGGAAGGGGCATCATGAGGTCTGAGATGCTATTGATTCTTAGGAAATCTTGAATTTTAACTTCTAGAATACAAAGTCAAAGAAAGGAGAAAATTAAGCTGCCCATGGGGTAAAGAGTTGGCTCAGCAGTTAAGAGCTCTGTCTGCTCTTGCAGAGGACCCGGGTTCAATTCCCAGCATCCACATGGCAGCTAACAACCGTCTTAACTCCAGTTCCAGGGGATCTGACACCCTCTTCTGACCTCCACTGGCACTGCACGACATGGGTACACTTAAACACATGCAAGCAATACACTCATGCACATAAAATAAAAATATTAAAAAAGAAATTAAGCTGCCCTTTGCTGCCTAAGAAGATATACCTTCCAAAGAGCAACCACGTGGCAAAGTGACCAAAATATTTGTCACAAGACATTTTTTGTTTTGTTGTTTCTGAGATAGGGTCCCATACAGGCCAAGCTGGTATGCACCACTACATCCAACTTCACATGGTGGTTTTTGTTTTGTTGTTTGAGGCAGGGTCTCCCTGTGGCCCCAGTTGGCCCAGAACTTGCTTATACACCAGGCTGAAGCCCTGGGTTCAAGAAAGAAAGGGGAGACAGGAGAGAGAGAGAGAGAGAGAGAGAGAGAGAGAGAGAGAGAGAATGGCAGCACATATGTATAATTCTAGCACTGAGGCAGAGGCAGGAATCAGGGACTTTGTATTCTAGAAGTTAAAGTTCAAGATTTCCTAAGAATCAACAGCATCTCACTGAGACCTCACAATGCCCTTTCCACTGGTAAATATAGACAAAAGACAATGCCATCCATCTACCAACTAGATCTTTATATACATTTTCCCTGCACTACATTGTACAGTTGGCTTATGGAAAGGTTCCAACTCTTAATTCAGGCTGGCAAGAAGAGGCAGTTATCTGAAATCAAAGCACAATAGGAGCTGGAGAGATGGCTCAGTGGTTAAGAGCACTCGCTGTTCTGCTAGAGGACCTGGATTTGATTCAAAGGGAATTCAAGGTCATTCTTAACTACCTATCAAGTTCAAGGCCAGTCTGGGTTACATGACACTGTCTCAAAAATCTAAGAAACTGCCAGGGATGGTGGTGCATGCCCAGAAGAGGCAGGCAGAATAGCAAGGTGAGTTCAAGGTCAACATGGTCTATATGCGAGTTCCAGGCCAGCTGGGGCTACAGGGAGACCCTGTCTCAAAAAGACAAAATAAATAATAATAATAATAATAAATAAAAACAAGAGTTGCGGGGCTGGAGAGATGGCTCAGCGGTTAAGAACACTGGTTGTTCTTGCAGAAGACCTGGGTTTGAATCCCAGCACTCACATGGCAGCTAACAACTGTCCGTAACTCCAATTCCAGGGGATCTGACAGCATCTTCTGTCCTTCGAGGGCACTGCACGACATGGGTGCACTTATCTACATGCAGGCATAACACTCATACACATAAAATAAAAATATTTAAACAAACAAACAAAAAAGAGTTGAATCACAAACTCTGTATGTCCTCATTTAGGTCATAGTTTTCTTTAAAAAAGTTTTTTGAAGACTACTAGATTAGTCAGAGGAACTAAGAAACCTACTGCAGAAGCCACTGTTTAGATGTTTTTGCTTCTTGCTGTTTTTGTTTTTATAGTAGACAGAATCCCAGTACCTTGCCACAATGGGAGGAAGATCGTCCCACACTTATCACCCCCTCCAAGGCTTAGGGACTTTCTTGGAAGAGGTTGGCAGAAAGAATGTAAGAGCCAGAGGAAGGGGTAGAGTGTTACCTGGAAGTGTCCTCCAACCATTATGTCAGCAAGCTATAGTCACACCTCTTTCCCATGCTCATCAAGGAGTCTAGGGGGGAATCAGTTAACCCTACCACCGAATCAGTCAACCTTAGCTGCATGTGTAGGAGGGGCTAAGGATATAAGCTGAGAGCACCATAAGGCACCTCTCTCACCATTTTGTGCAGTTGTTGGGAAGTCACAGTACCTACATTTGAATGTGGACCTTCCAGTGCAGCTGTAAAAGGGGGGCACCCACTCTTCTAAATAAACCCCCACTCTAGCCTCTGTTAGCAAGCCCAATAAACTCATTAGGATTTTCCAAAGAAAAACAGAAAAAAAAGGATGTAAAATGAAGAGGCATATTCCACACTACCAGATTTTTTGAGAGGTGGTATAGAAGTTATGAGGCTGTTTTAAGGATATAAATAATAAAAGCACATCATAAATGAAGAGACAGTCAATTACTCTCCCCTCCCCAGATGCAACCATGGAACTTTTCAAAGCTTCAGATCAGACCTGCCACAGAAGCCAAGTAGCTGGATATTACATGTTGAGCTGTGTCTGGCCTTTACCCTCATGAGGAAGATCCTACGTGAACTATGAGTTTATTTGTTATGCTAGGAGAGATAGACACAGAAAATGTGTGTTACCTGTTGGCTTGGTTCTTCTGACATTAAATACATAACGAGATGCTGAATGTCCTTAGATTCCTCATCTTTTGCCAGGTAAGCTCTCAGGGCCATGATGGTAGATGCATTTTTTTTTTTTTTTTCCTGCCAACTTGAGATACAAAAGAACTTTGGGAATAAATTTTAAGTATTTTGAAAGTTGTTCACATTGAAAAAAAAAAAGAAACCTGCTGCAGAAATACAGACTGGGCTGTTGAGGATGAGGTGAGGAGAGGCTGGAGTGGGCCTCAGGAAGCAGAAAAGCAGAAGCTGAAGCTGAAGAACAAACCTGTATGACTGTCCAGGCCTAGTGCCCACCAGAATATCACACACTCCTCTGTAGCCTCACAGCACTACTGCCCTAACTCATTCTACTCAGAATGAAAGCCACCACTTTCCAATTTAACCTGACCCTGTAGGCAAAAGGTATATCTATAAATATCTGTGAACTTGGATTTCAGAGGTAGAAAAGAAAAACTTGGATTTCACAGAAAGCAGTTAAGTAACAAGAGGAAGGAAAGGTACAGTTGAGTCTATCCCTGGGTGAAGAGACACAAAACACATGAGGGAGAGTAAAGCCACTTTATTTTAAGTTAGTTGTAGAAACCGGTAGACAGTGAGATGCCTCCTAAGAGAGGGCACATACCAGAGGCAAAGAGAAGGCTGCCATGGACAGAAGGGTGGGCAAAGAGGTTTCATCCCACCATTCCTACAAGTTCTCACAGGTTACTCTGGAACATCTTGGGGCCCTGAAAGAAGAGGTCCTCTTGCTCAAGACTGCGCATGAAACTGAGAGCTGCTGGATTCCAGGTTAGAAAGGGTGTTGTTCTGGAGCTCTAGGAGGAAGAAAAAGGGAAAAGAAAAACCATTAGCATGCACTGTGAGCCCCTGGATCTTCTTGAAAAGGACACATACAGGTCTGGCTTATATGTGCCCTCTCTATTGAGACTTCTCACTGCCCATCTATACCTGTTCCCCAACTGCAGTAAAGTGGCTTAATGAGGGGCTGGAGAGATGGCTCAGTGGTTAAGAGCACTGGCTGCTCTTGCAGAGGACCTGAGTTGAATTCACAGTACCCACACGGCAGCTAACAACTGTCCATAACTCCAGTTCCAGGGAAATCTGATGCCCTCTTCTGACCTCCACAGGAACTTCAAGACATGGGTACACCTACATACATGGAGGTAATACACACATACACATACACATTAAGAAAAAAAAAATAGGGGCTAGAGAGATGGCTCAGCAGTTAAGAACATTTGCTGTTCTTCCAAAGGACCCAGGTTCAAATCCCAGCACCCACATGGTGACTAACCATAACCAGTTGCAAGGGATCTAACACCTTTTTATGGGTTTTGTGAACATTGTATGACATGGGGACACTTACATCCATGCAGGTAATACACCATACACATAAAATAAAATAATAAATTTTTTTTAAGTTTACTTATTATTCTTATGTGTACGTGTATATTGCCTGCATGTAGGTAAGTGCACCTGTATTGTGCAATGCCCGAGGAGATCAGAAGAGGCTGTTGGATCCCTTGGGACTGGAGTTACAGACAGTTGTTAGCTGCCATGTGGGTGCTGGGATTCAAACTCGGGTCTTTTGCAAGAAAAACCAGTGTTCTTAACCGCTGAGCCACCTCTCCAGTCCAATAATAATAATAATAATTTTTTAAAATCCATTTTTTTTAAAGTGGCTTAATGAAGGATGTAGTGGCACATGCCTGTAATCCCAGCACTCAGAAAGTTGAGACAGAAAGATTCTGAGTTCAAGACCAGTCTGGGCTACATGGCAAGTTCCAGCTTTGCTTGAACTACAAGGGAAAACCATGTCTTTAAATAAGTATTAAATAATAAAGTGGTTTAATTCTCCCTGATATATAACAAGGGTAGATGGATTTACACAGAAAAAGACAATGCCAAACAATAAAGCAGCTATATTCAAAGTCAGCCTCCCCCAGAACTAGGATCTCTGTCCTTACCCCTATCTAGTTTCTTTAAAAGTTCCCAACTACTGTCACAGTCTGGAAGACTGACTTCAGAGCTAGATGAAGAAAGACGTGGCAAAGGTGGTGGCCAGAGGCAGCTTAGATTGCTGGGCATAAACAGAGGTCCTAAAAAGAACAGAATCAGAGGCAGAGATGGTGTCGGGTCTAGAACACCCTCCCAGCATAGCCTGTCCTCCTTTCTGAGGTCAGGACTCTAGTCTCTTCCCCCTTTACTATTCAACTATATAAAGACTCTCTATCAAATAGAATGTCAGTGTTGGGACTAGTGAGATGGCTTATAACAAAGGCACCTGCTCCCTAACAACCTGAGTTTGATCCCTGGGACCCCTATCTTGGAAGGAGAAAACTAACTCCTGCTAGTTGTCCTCTGACCTCCACACACACACCATGGCACATGTATGCCCCCTCCATTAGCCTCACACACAAAATAAATGTTTTAAAAAAAAATTTTGTCTTTTTATTATTATTACTATTATTATTTTTGGTCTTTTTGAGACAGGGTCTCCCTGTAGCCCCAGCTGTCCTGAAACTCACTATGTAGACCAGGCTGGCCTTGAACTCACAGGGATCCACCCGCCTCTGCCTCCCAATGCTGGGAGTAAAGGCGTGTGCTACCACACCCAGCTAAAAATTTTAAAAAACAATGCCCAGTGAACCCAGCCATAATGACTCACACCTGTTATCACTGTACATAGAAGGCAGAGGATAGTGAGTTTAAGGACAATGTGGGCTACCATGGCAAAAGACAAAAAAACTGGACCTAGTAACATATCCCAGCACTTGGGAGATAGAAGCAGGCAGATGAGGAGTTCAAGGACAGCCTAGGCTACATGAAATTGTCTAGAGAAAAAACAAAACAACAACAACAAAAAACAACCCAATGCTGTTCTTATGAACTGCAACCCAGATACTCAAAGACTACCATAACCAACCCCTGGCCAAATTTAGGATAGTTGAAGTTTGGTCCCCAAATGCCTGACTTCTATAACACAAATCACCTCTACTACCACAACTTCTGACCTGAGGAGGCTGGGCTCCTCCCCCTGGGCATCCCGTGTCTCTGTCCTGGTAATCTCCAAGGTATGAACCTTGTCCTTCTGGTCACTCTGCAGGTGCTCCAATGTCTGCCAGACCATAGGACCCAGGTAGAACCTAATCTCTCAGTTTCCAAGGGGGAACTCCCTCCCATAACCGACCTCCTCGCCACATTAGAACCCTCATGTAGGCAAGGACAGTGACTCATGGCTTACAGCAGAGACTGGGAAGAGCTGCTTAGGAGAGAGGTGGAGTCAGCACAGAGAAAAAAAGACAAGGATAGAGATGGGATGGGATGGGGTGGGAGAGAATACCCAGGCCAATCTGTATAGCAGAACAGGTAGAGGAAAGATGGGGACTTCATGAGGAAATATGGGGAAACTGGTCTAACCCTGTCCTACCTTCCAGCTGCAGGCCTGAACCTGGTGCCCCTCAGCCACCTGTTTCAGCAGCAACTCCTGATGCTGGCCTGAAGATGAGACAGAATATAAATGACTATTCTCAAACTTCATTCCTTTTCCTTCCTTGCCTTGTGACCAACCTGGTTGTGAAAACTGAGATAAAAATATTCTGGTCCAGCTGTTACAAAGATTCCAAGATGATGAGAGAGACTAATTCACACCATAAGACAAAAAGAGCAAAATAAAATACTTTGCCAAAGGCAAAGGCTCAGTGATAGAGCATGTGCTTAGCATGTGCAAGGCCATGAATTTGATCACCAGCACCACACACACAAATAATGATGATGATGATAATACTTTGCCAGGCTTCTCAAAAGCTCAAACACACAGAAGTATGACCACTTACTGGAAGAGCAAGAAGCTATTCCAGAAAAAGGGACGAGAGAATTCATACTCTCAATCTTTCACTTACTCAGCTGGTCCCGCAGCAACTTCAGTTCTTCCTGCAGAATCTCTGATTCTTCCCACAAAAGTTGGTGCCTACATAAGTGACAGCAATGTTATTCTAGAATTAAACAAGAAACCCAAAGTGGCTGGGAATTATAGCTCAGTATATCTGCTTGGTATGTACAAGACCCAGGGTTCAGTACCCAACACCACACACACACACACAGTGAGAGGCCATCAGCCTTCTAGAATGTCAAGAGTTCAGAGGCCTCAAGAGGATGAAGTCCTGCCTATCACTTACTCAGTCTGCAGCTCCTTATGAAGGCCACTGGTAGCACTGAACTTTCTTGGTCTTGTTTTCATTTGGGTTTGGCATAGTTCTTGCACCTGGCTCCAAAGGCCCTGCACTTCTTTTCTCAGCCCCTCCAAGCATTGCTCCAGAAGGGCTCTCCCTTTTGGGCTCTTCTACAGCAATTTTAGTGATGCTGTAGTGAAATAAATTGAAGATCAACTGCTTTAAGAGCTTCACACATGAGCCCAGGCACTACTTGCAAATCAAAACATGGACACACAATAGCCATGTGCCAAAATTGTGAGAACACACACACATAAAGTTGTGTATAAGGGGTGGGAATAGAGGTCACTGGTAGAAAATAGCTTAGTATGCATAATACTCTGGTTTCTATTTAAAAACTCTGTGTACATGAAGAATTGGCCCGGTATCTTCTAGCCCACCAATCTTACACATCTGCTGCTCTCGATCTTTCAGCAGGCTCTGCACAGCATGCCTTAGAGCCTCAGTCACCTACAGAAGAGAAAAAACAGAAGCTACTTTGTAAGCAATTTCTCCAATTCCTAGTATGTTCATCTAACATTACCACCACATACAAACACCCAAGATACCTCACCTGAGTCTGAGAGTTATGCTGGGATCAGAGATTAGTAACTTCATCCCAGAGAGAGGATGAGCTGTTGGCTCCAGTGCAGCTCAGTCTCTTTCGAAGACTGGGAGTCTTTAGAGGCCAAGGCTGTTGAGCTTGGATCCCTAGCTGAGGAGGCAAGTGATGATGGAAATGCAGGTATCAGCCAGGTCACCTATTGAGGGAATAAGAAAGAGACAAGAGTGAAATCTGTCTCTGTGGGAAAACAGTTTCAGAAGGGAAGGAGTTGGACTGTGGATGGACCTGTACAGGCACTGAAGTAACAAGACCTTAGATTGAGGAAAGGCTGGGAGAATGGTCAATACTTACCTGCAGAGGAACTCCAAAGGGATATAAACTCTACTACAAAGGAAACAGTTCCACAAGTTAATGAGCTCTGAGTGTTCTTTATCTATACCCACCCCTGTTAAGGTTTAGATAGCTCTGCCCCCTCACCTCCAGCGCGCCAAAAATAAATAAATAAATAAAGTAAAATACCGGGGGCCTTTGGAGGGAAATTCCAAGGCCTTCTCACCTTAATCCGGACTATATTTTCATCAGTTGAACTGAGAACCGCATGGAGCTGATCAGACCAGCTTGGGCTCCTACTCATCCTGCGGCAGTGGGGTCTGACTCCGACTTTCCGTGCTCTTGCTCTCCCTGGTACCCGAGGTACAGCCCAGGAGACGCCACAGCATTAGACGGAAAGAGTTAAGTGGGAATGCAATACTAGGGCTAGAGATACAGTACAAGGCCAAAAGAGAACCTGGAACTAGGGGGCAGATGGCGTTCAGGGGAAACTGGGGTACACAATAGCCTGATAAGCAGATATCAAGTGGGGGTAGAAGGAGCTCTATCTTGGTCGAGGCCTCCCCAAACCGAGGACGCTGGCTCCATCACGCCAAACCTGGGTCAAGGACTACTGCCGCCCCTGAGTTCAAACTCTCTGGTAGGCGGAGAAAAGACTTAAAACTGAGTGCCCCAGCGCCACCCGAGAAACAGAGTCCGCTACAGGACCCGCAGTAGACGTGGCGGAAATGTTTCCCTGGACGCGCCCCCTGCGTTCACGCCCCCCGCCGTGAAGCTCGTCGGGACACCGAGTATTCCGAACTCTGTTAATGTTTGGGTACCAAGGACCAAACGAACTATGTGTACCAAGATGCATTGTGCAGAGCTATCTGCGTCCCGCTACCGGTCCACTGCCTCCTGGGAAATGCAGTTCAGCCTGTCTTGAAGCCTACCGGCCCAGTTATCCCTGAGACTCCATTCCCCAGCAAGCTCAGCGTTCAGCGTGCGCTATGGAGCCGCGAGTCGCTGAGCTGAAGCAGAAGATAGAGGACACCTTGTGTCCTTTTGGCTTCGAGGTTTACCCCTTCCAGGTTGGTTTGTACCCCTTGTAGTCGTAGGGTGAACTGTATGATTTGCTTCGGTGCCACCAGTGTGAGGTCCTGTGAGCCATTATGTTCTCCCCAAAGCTCTTACCGCCCGGTGGCCATCTAACGACTGAGTCAGATTGTAGAGCCCGGGCATGGTTAAAAAGGTAGAGAAGCAGTCTCATGTTTGTCCTGTTACCCCTTTATGATGTCAAACAAGTGGATGGAATACAACCTACTATCCCCTAACCTGTCACATCCATAATTTACAAGAAGAAAGTCTCCCTGTGGGGCCAGAATCACCTTGGAAGCTTCCAAAGGAGTTAGAAGAGGGCAGAGCTTGGTTAAGTTGGCATGGCTGTTTGAGGAGAGAAGGACATTCCTGGTGTTGAACAAGAAACAATTGCCTGGTTTGTTTCAGCTGTCAACAGAAGGATAATTCATGATGGTGCTAGCCATCAATACAGGGCTGAGTATAGAAAATCTGCACCCTGCCTGACACAGAAGTCTCTCTTGCTCCTTTCCTCCCAGGCCCCACGCTGTCCCACACTTTTGTTGTTTGTTTGGAGACAAGGTTTTACTGTGTAGCCCTATCTGGCCTGGTACTCACTATGTAGCCCAAGTTGGTCTGGATCTTTGTCACCACACCTGGCCTGTCCCACCCTTTTCCATTAAATCCATTTCTTGCACATCAGTGCTGAATGAACAAGGTATACTAAGACAAACAAAATTAGCTTGAACTCTTTGCCTGATCTTAAGAGACTTCCCATTTCCCCACTCATTCCACTGAGCTGTACACAGCCAGCTTAGGAGGGAGATATTGTAGAAAAATAAGCTGAGTCTAGTTTGAAAGCACCTGGGGGATGCAGTTGAAATTGAACTCCCGGAGGATGAAGCTCAGAGTAGAGCACTTGACCAGTATGCATGAGGTTTGAAATTGAGACAGGAGGTAACTCAATGATAGAGTGCTTGTTTAGCATGTGCAAGGATCTGGGTTCAAGCTTCAGCACCAACACAAAGACAAACTGCATATGAAAAGATGAATTGAAAAGAGGGAGGATTATATACATCCTATCAGCTTGAGTAGAAGAGATAGGAGTGTGGAGGTAGTGTGGACAGCAGCTGTGAGAAAGAATGAGGATGCCTATCTGGCAAGTCTGGATAATGGGAGCTACTGTACTGGTCAGTCAGTCACCTGTAGCCCAGTAAGTCATCCTAAAATCTTGCCACTCACCTTGCCAGTTCTACATCCAGTCAGCCACCAAGACCATCTCCCAAATCTTCCAAATCCATTGTTTTCCCACCCACCAATCTATGTGCTAGCTCAGACTTCTCTCAATAGGATTACTATAATCTCCTTGCTCCCATCTTGCCTCCAATGCATTCTCCACACTGCAACCAGGTCATTCTAAAACTATCTGGTCACTTTATTCTTTTCAGTATTCAGTGGCTCCCCATTGTCTTCAAATTAGCTTTATAGCCCTTTTTATTTATTTTTTTATGTGTATGAGTGTTTTGCCTGCATGTATGTAAGTAAGTGCACCACGTGCATACGGTGCTCTCAGAGGTCAAAAGAGGGCATCAGAGCCCCTGGAACTGAAGTTATAGATGGTTGTTAGCTGCCATTTGGGTGCTAGGAAGCCAGGTCCTCTTGAAGAGCAGGCAGTACTCTTAACTGCTAAGCCATCTCTCCAGCCCCATTAGATCTATAGCCCATAAATTAGTATTAAGACCAGTCACCTTGCCGGGGGTGGTAATGCATGCCTTTAATCCCAGCACTTGGGAGGCAGAGGCAGGCGGATCTCTGTGAGTTCAAGGCCAGCCTGGTCTACATAGTGAGCTCTAGGTCAGCAGGGGCTACAGGGAGACCCTGTCTCAAAAAGACCAGCCACCTCACTACTGCTCATCTCTCAAGCCTTCTTTTCCTGATTGCAGGAACAGACCCTTTACTGCCACAAAACTTGACAACTTGCCTTTCTTCAAATATGATTAGTACATTTCTGCCTGTGCCTTTGCTTACATTGTAACCTCTGTTTAAATACATAGCAAGCTGAGCATGGTGGCAAACACCTTTAATCCAGGAGAGGCTGGTGGATCTCTGAGATTGAGACTAGCCTGATCTACATAGCAAATTTCAGACCAGCCAGAGATACATAGTAAGACCCTGTCTCAAATAAATAACACAGTGCATTCTCCTTCCCATCAGCCATTAGTTTCCTTACCAGCCCTCAAGACTCAGTTTCAGAGTTTTCTCTAATTTCAGAGGATCTTCATCTGGTCCTGCCATCATAGCACTAATCATAATAGTCACTTTTGATTTTTTCTTGTTTTTGAACTTCTATGTCTCTGTTCTAAATTCCATACAAGGTAATATGTATACATTACACAGTATCAGTGAGAATTCATTGAATGAATGAGATGGCGACTGGGGCAAAATGTATATAGTTGAATACAAGTATTCAACTAGGCCTGAATAAGGCCTAAGGCTGTTTGCCAACCTGACCTGAACTTTCTGTGTTCTAGGTGGCATGGTACAATGAACTCCTGCCTCCAGCCTTCCACTTACCGTTCCCAGGACCAACTCTGGCCTTCCTTGTACTCAGCATACCAGCCATGTTTGACAAAGCTCTCAAGCCCTTCTTGCAGAGCTGCCACCTCCGACCACTGACAGACCCCGTGGATCAGTGTGTGTCCTATCACCTGAGGCGTGTTACAGAGGTATACAAAGCTCAACTTGCCCTCAATTTCCAAGCCTATATCTGCTTTCTTGTTCACTAAGCTCATGTGAGGTCTAGACTTAGGACTAGGAGCCATGACATATTCTGTGTTCTCCTTATTCTGCCTTCTCACACCCAGGTTTTACCACTTTCCTTTAGCAGACTTCCAGTTTGAAATCAGTCTGACTCTATACAGATGGGCAACTATATGAACCTCAGGCTAGTCTTGATTTCCAAGTGGAATATAAATAAGCCCAACATCTTTCAGACATTGATGACTGGCCTTTGCCCTAGACTTGCAAGCTCTATGCTCTCTTTTGAGCCTTTTGAAGGCAGAACAGTTTTTCCCAATCACAGACTTATATACTCACACAGATATATAATATGTATATATAATACATAGTTATTTTTTACACACATCCAGTCTCCCCACCCTGAAATTCTGATAAGTAAGGCCATCCCTTCAAATATAGGCCCTCCTGGGGTGGGGATGTGACTTTCTTCACTTTGTAACCTCTTAAGTTAAAGTCATGTTTTCCCTACAAACAGGGCTTTTAAGCCAGGCATTGTGGTGAATGCCTGTAATTCCAGCACTAGGGAGGCAGGAGGATGGGTTCAAGATCATCCTTGGCTACATATAGAAAGTTTAAGGCCAGTCTGACCTACATGATGCTATATCTCAGCAAAACAAAACAAAAAGCAACAAAGGTTTCTGAGAATCAAGACCATATTAACACACAAATCAGACCTCCTTGGAACAAAGTCATGACTCCTCCATGCTTGTTCTGTTCCAGAGGTTTCCAGAACTACAGATGGAAATCATTGCTGACTACGAGTTACATCCTAACCGGCGCCCTAAGATTCTAGCCCAGACAGCAGCCCATGTGGCAGGTGCTGCGTATTACTACCAACGACAAGATGTGGATGCTGATCCCTGGGGGACCAAGGTCAGAAGACAAATGTGAATGAGTATGGACTGTGAGAAACAATAGTAAAGGCCCCTTAAAGTATCCTGTAAGAACCCATATTCCTTTACCTTCCTTTGATGAAACTGATATATTACCCAGGACAGAGTAGCCCTGTTCCTGACCAAGAGAGCACCTCTCTTCTTGCCCCTTCACCTGCTTTCTGGTTAGGTGAAGATATAGCATTAGGGTCAGAAAACCTAGTCTGTTATTCTTACATTTTATTTTTTAATTTTATGTGTATGAGTATATTGCCTGCATGTAAGTACACTGTGTCATTCAGAGGTCAGAGGTCAGATCCTCTGGAACTGGAGTTACATACAGTTGTTAGCCACCATCTCTCCAGCCCCTTTTTAAATTTTTTAAAAATTTTATTTCCTTGCATGGCACTGGTGCACTTATGTACATGAAGGCAATACACGCACACACATATACATAAAATAAAAATATTTTAAAAAAAAATGTATTTCCAGGGGCTGGAGAGGTGGCCCAGAGGTTAAGAGCACTGGCTGCTCTGGCAGAGGACCCAGGGTCAATTCCTAGCCATATGGCAGCTAACAATTGCATGTAACTCCAGTTCCAGGGGAAACCCACTTCTGACCTCTGTGGGCATTGGACAACATGGGTGCACTTCCACACCTGTAGGAATACACTCATTCACATAAAAGTAAATTTATTTTGCCGGGTGTGGTGGCACACGCCTTTAATCCTAGCCCTCTGGAGGCAGACACCAAAGTCTACATAGTGAGTTCCAGAACAGCTGGAGCTATAGGGAGAATGTCTCAAAAATAGCAAAAAAAAAAAAAAATTTTTTTTTTTTGTATTTTTCCTGCCTGCCTGTTTGGAAGTGCATCTCTGATGTGCAGTGCCCAGAGACCAGAAAAGGACACCAGATCCCCTGGAGCTAGAGTTACATACAGTTGTTAGCCACCATGTGGATGATGGGAACTGAACTCAGGTCCTCTGCAAGAGCAGCCAGTGTTCTTAACTACTGAGCCATCTCTCCAGCCCAGTTCTTTTTTAATTTTTAAAAAATATTTATGGGGGCTGGGCATGCACATGCCATGGTTTGCTTGTGGTCAAAGGACAACTTGCAGGAATCAATTCTTTTCATCCACTATGTGGGTCTTGGGGATCAAACTGAGGTCATCAGGCTTGACAGCAAGCACCTTCTTTATCCCACTGAGCCATTTTGCCAGCAGCCCCCCTAGTCTGTTATTTACTTACTTATATGTGTATGAGTGTTTTGTCTGCATGTAAGTGTACCATGTATATGCAGTACCTGTGGAGACCAGGAGAGGGCATTGGATCCCCTGGAACTAGAGTTTTGGACAGTTAGGATCAGTTAGGACTATTAGGAGTGCTGGGAACCAAACCCAGGTTGTCTGCAAGAGCAGGAAGTACTCTTTTTAATATTTTATGTGTATGCATGTTATGCCTGCATGTAGGTAAGTGCACCCATGTCGTGCAATGATCACGGAGGACAGAAGAGGTTGTCAGATCCCCTGGAACTGGAGTTATGGACAGTTGTTAGCTGCCATGTGGGTGCTGGGATTTGAACCAGGGTCTTCTGCAAGAACAATCGGTGTTCTAACCGCTGAGCCATCTCTCCAGCCCCAGGAAGTACTCTTAACCACTAAAGCCATCCCTCCCCTGCAAGCAATCTGTTCCTAAAATTTGTATTACAGGGCTGTCTCAGGATGATCCAAAGACAGAGCAGTGACCAGACCAGTATTGAACTGAGAAAATGCTCAAGTGAGCCTTCCTTCATCCTTAGAATGAATCTATGAGGGGGATGTCAAGAAGAGGACATGCTTGGTATGGTGGTGCACCTTTGATCCTAACACTCAGGATGAGAGGCAGGCAGGTCTTTGTTAGTTTGAGGCCAGCCTGGTCTATATAGTGAGTTACGGGCCAGCTGCAGCTATAGAGAGACCCTGTCTTTAAAAAAAGAGGGGGACAGGGACTCAGACCATGAAGTAGGGGTCAAGGCATTTGCAGTACAAGCATAGCAACCTGAGTTTGATCCCCAGAACCCTCATAAATGTGGGAGAGATCCAACTGCGAAGTTGTCCTCTGGCCTCCACACAGGCACCCATTCACACATCTTTTTTTTTTTTTTTTTTTTTTTAAAGGAACAGAGGCTTCTATGTGAAATGCATTGAGTGGGAAGTGAACAAAGATAGCTTGTAGTGATGATAGGTAGACCTACTGCCAAAATGAACTCTGACCTTACTTTACCCTCTCTCCAGCACATAACAGGTGTGTGCATACACCCCCGATTTGGAGGCTGGTTTGCAATCAGAGGGGTCATGTTGCTTCCAGGAATTGAAGTGCCAAATCTGCTACCCAGAAAGCCCCTCGACTGTGTGCCTACAAGAGCTGACCGCATCACTCTGCTTGAAGGCTTCAATTTCCATTGGCAAGACTGGACTTACCGGGATGTTGTAACTCCCGAGGAACGTTACTCAGAAGAACAGAAGACCTACTTTTCCACCCCACCTGCTCAACGTTTAGCTCTATTAGGCTTGGCCCAGCCCTCAGGGCCCTTTAGCACTATACCCTCTGAGTTTCCCCTTTCCAAGCTTACCAAGCCACAAAATCCCAGCAGAGTACAAAGCTGGCTCCACCCCAGTGTCTCGCCACCTGAATCCCCTGGCCCTTGATACCTTCTTCCCTATGGGCTACCTCTTATGGTGGTAGGATTTGTTTTATTTTAGATACCACTTCTTGATGACAGATCTTCAAAGAGTAAGACTCAAGTTATATTTGGTTGAGACAAGTCAAATACTAAGGCAGACAGAAAATTGCCACTTGCCTTCGACTATCACCTTTTTTCTGTGTAGTGCTCCAAGGTACTATTTATTTAGAAGACTTGAGAGGCAACCACCCTTTAAATGGCACCTACCACACAGGGCCTGTGCAGTTAACCACTTTGAAACTGCATGACATATAGTAAGTGGTGTGTTATTACTGAAGGGCCTAAAATCATACTGCTGCTCAGAGAGATCTGATCTGAGTTCTGGAAGACTGAAAAGCCATGATGGCACAGAATTAAGATTGCCCTAACCTCAAGAACCCTGAAGAATTGAGTCAAAAAGGACTGTCTAATCATAGCTAGAATGCAACAGGTTGAATATAATCCATATCCAAAGCCACCTGTGTTTGCCTTTTCTCAATTCCAAAGCGCCAGAAGCCTCTCAATTCCAATTTTTAAGTCTCACTATGAGGGCCTGGAAAGATGGCTCAGTTGGTAAAATGCTTGCCATGTGTAAATTGTTGTCATGTGCTGTTTATACTTGTTGCAAGCCGATTATGAGAACAATAGACAAGGCCCCCTTCTCTCAAGACATGTTATCTCAAGTATCCTCTAAAGCTCTTTGTCCTGGGGCTGGCTAGCCCCCTGATCCTGTGACAGTGAGGGAAAAAAGCAAACTGCCAAGGGCATTTAAAACACTGCACTCTTGCTTAGCTAGAAGGTAACCATTTCCAAGAGGAAATGTTTAACCCCATGATATTAAAGTGTTTACAGTGGCAAAGGGAAAAATAAGCCAGAAGCTTATTCACTGAAGAGAATGCTTTGCTCTGCACCACCCAGAAAGTGCTGGGGAGGGGAAGACAGAGTATTAGCTTGCTGGCCAGCCAGCCTTGATAATGCCAAGTTCAGTGGTCTATCCCAAAAAATAAAGATGAAGGGGCAGATAGTCCAGTTGCTAAGAGCACTTGCTGCTTTTCTAGAGGATCAGAATTCAGTTCCCCTTACCCACACTTAGGTGGCTCACAACCACCTGTAACTCTAGCTCCAAGCAATCCTGACACTCTACTGACCTCCAAACACGTGTATACACATACACACACACACACAAATTTTAAAAAGCCTCTTAAAACAGAAACCCAATCTTGACATCCACATACACATCCAAAGACTTGCTTTGTAACCCAGGCTGGCTTTAACCTTACATTCATTTCTATGCTCAGAGTGCTGGGGTTACAGGTATGCTGTAGCCCCAGCTGGCCTGGAACTATGTACATCAGACTAGCCTTGAAGAGATCTGCCTGCCTCTGCCCTGACATGCCTCTTATGTTCATATTTATCTGGGAGAAGAGGGTGTATCACAGGATGTAGAGGTTAGAGGCAACTTGCAGGAGTCAGTTCTCTCCTCCCACCATGTAGGTCCCAGGGACAGAACTCAAAATAGCAGGCTTAGCCGCAAGCACATTTACCCATGAGCCATCCCTACAGCCTCCAATTCTTTTACAGAGCAGATACTAGACATTTACCCCAAGAGGTGAAGCTCTACTTCCCATGTAGTCATATAAGCATAGTCCAAGCTTTATTTTTTTGAAACAGGGTCTCCCTATAGCCCCAGCTGACCTGGAACTCGCAATGTAGATCAAATTAACCTTGAACTAGAAGAGATCTGCCTGCCTCTGCCTCCTGAGTGCTGGGATTAAAGGTGAGTGACTAGGCAGGGCTCAATTTTTTAGACATGTTCTCCCTATAGCTCCAGCTGGCCTAGAACTACATAGGCCAGGCTGGCCACATCAGATCTGCCTTTGCCTCCCAAATGCTGGAACTAAATGTGCATACCCCCTCAACCACCAGTCAAAGTAATATTAGGACTATAACTTGCAATCCAGAATATATATGAATTGCAGTGCCCTGGCCAACACTAGCAGATCCAAGTACTAAAACAAAATGTAAAACCTTGTTTCAACCTCCCTATGTATGTATTATGTACCTTCAATTGAAGGTACAACAGTTTTATCTTTTTGCATGACAAAGTAGTCATCTGAGAACCTCAATTGAGGAATTACCTAGATCTGACTGGCCTGATGCATTTTCTTGATTGCTAATTGATGTGGGAGGGCCCCAGCCCACTGTAGGTGGTACCGTCCCTAAGCAGGTAATCCTGGGCTGTAAGGAAGCAAGAAAGCTAGCTGCGCAGAAACTGGAGAGAGAGGACAAGCCAGTAATAAGCATCATTTGCTGCTTGAGTTCCTGCCCTGACTTCACCCAATGTTGGACTGTGACCTGAACTAGAAGCCAAGTAAGCCCTTTCCTCTCAAAGTTGCCTTTGGTCATGGTGTTTATCACAGTAACAGAAAGCAAAACTAGAACCCAAGTCAAGCACTCTACCAACAAAGTCCTAAGACTTCATTTTTTTTCCCTCTTAAGAAGAAAAGCAGGGACTGGGGAGATGGTTCAGCAGTTACAAGCACTAGCTGCTCTTGCAGAAGATGCAGGTTCAAATCCCAGCACCCTCCAGTTCCAGAGGATCCGAGACCCTCTTAAGTTCTCTGTTGGCATTGCATGACACGGGTGCACTCACATACATGCAGGCTTAATACTCATACACATAGAAATTTTTTTTAAAAATTACTCTCAGCCGGGTATGAGGGCACAGGCCTTTAATCCCAGCACTTGGGAGGCTGAGGCAGGCAGATCTCTGTGACTTCGAGGCCAGCCTGGTCTACATACTGAGTTCCAGGCCAGCTGGGGCTATAAGGAGACCCTGTTTCAAAAAACAAAACAAAAAAAAAGTATTCTCAGGGCTGGAAAGGTGGCTCAGCAGTTAAGAACACCGGTGGTTCTTGCAGAAGACCTGGGTTTGAATCCCTAGCATCCACCACGGTAGCTAACATCTGTCCAACGTAACTCCAGTTCCAGAGGATCTGACGGCCACTTCTGTCCTCTGAGGGCATTGCATGACTTACCTACATGCAGGCAAGATACTCATACACATAAAATAAAAATAATAAAATACTGAAGAAAAAAAAAAAGTACTCTCTTGTGAGGAACCAAGTTTGGTCCCTGAAACTCAAGCAAAACAAAACAAAGAAAAACCCCAGGTTAGCAGCCCATGCTTATAATTCTAGCACTGGAGAGGCAGATCTCTAGGGTTCACTGGCCGGCCAGGTAGCCAGCCAAGCCTAGGCTACATGTCAAGTTTCAAGCCCTGAGAGACCCTGTCTCAAAAAAAAGGTAAACTGTACCTGAGGAATGACCAACACCCAAGGGTGTCCTCTGGCTTTCACATTCACATGTACATAAGTGCATCTACACACAAAAATGGAACAAAGATTAAATACCTCTTAAAATCTAATATTTACCAAAATGAATCACCAAGGTCTCAGTTCAAGTTTAATAGATACTACAAAAGAACAACAGGCTGATGTCTGGCTACTAGTACATTAGATGATCTGCTACAACATAGCTCAGGCCAGCCCTACCAGTGAAAGAAAGGCTAACCTCCCCCACTCCTGTAGGAAAGACATGTCTTAAACTACAACCTATCTTGTGTTTAAAGGCATGAATAAGTACAAAAGAGATTTCCTTCTCCCGGCTCCCCAATATAGCCCAACATGAAAATGGCCCAGTGATCACTTCTGCTTGGAGAAATATTCTTTGCTCTTTTGGACATCAGGCTTGATGGTATCACTGCCAGGTTTCCAGCCAGCTGGGCACACTGCAAAAGAAAGGTACCACTAATGAATAACCTGCACAGTGGTTATGTACCACCCCTCCTCCTGTCAACAAAGGGCTGTCTCAAAACCAAATCCGAGTGTGGTGGCTCATGCCTGTAATCCCAGCATTCAGGTAAATCCCACAAGTTCAAGGACAGCCCAGGCTACATTGTGAATTCCAGGCCAGCCCGGGTGACAGAGGCCTGTCTTAAAATACAAGGTAAAAAGAGGCCTGGAGATAAATAGCTCAGTAGTAGAGTGCTTGCCTAGTGTTCACAAGGCCCTAGAGGTAGAATCGCCAATATTAACCCCCAAAAAGCTTAAAACAAAACAGACAGACATGAATCCTGGGGATTTCTCAAGTTTGCACTCAGCCTTCTAGTATAAGGTTAACAACTTAAAAACATTAATGTTTAAACTCTATCAGAGACTTAACCTACTATTAAAGCTCATTTAACATTTAAAATCTAAGTAGTAGAGTTGGAGAGATGGCTCAATAGTTAAAAAGTACTGGCTGCTCTTGCAGAGGACCCACATTCAATTCCTAGCACCCACATGGAGACTAACAACTGTCTGTAACTCCAGTTTCGGGGAAATCGATGCTCCCTTCTGAACTTGGTGGGCGTTGCATGACACAGGTTCACTTATATACATACAGACAATATACTCATACACATTAAAAAAAAAAACTAAGCAGTAGCTTAAATTACACTCATGTCTAACAATGATCAGTCTAAGATATATGTAGCAAAATACTAAGATTTGTAGATATGTAAATAGTTCATATGTTGTACACATTTTATTTATATTTCATCCTTCAAATGACTTTTTATTTGAGACAGGGTTTCCCTTGTAGCTCCAGCTCCCCTTGATCTCACAAAAATCCACCTGCCTCTGCCTCCTGAATGCTAGGACTGATGGGATTAAAGGCATGTACCATCCTGCCTGATAAATAGGAGTTAAAAAAAAAAAAAAGCCGAGGGGCAGGCATGGTGGCGGATGCCTTTAATCCCAGTACTTGGAAGGCAGAGGCATGTAGATCTCTGTGAGTTCAAGGCCAGCCTGGTCTACATAGTGAGTTCCAGATTAGCAGCTGGGGCTACAGGGAGACCCTGTCTCAAAAAGATTAAAATTAATAAAAAAACAAAAAAAAACCTGAATGTAAATGTGGTGGCACATTAACTTGGGAGGCTTAAGGTAGAAGGACCATGAAAGCCCAGGAGTTAAGACAGTTTAGACAACATAGTGGGATCTTCTCTCAGACAAAAAAAGCTTACATGATCAACAAATGGTGCTAGGACAGTTGGACTTTTATAAAAAAATAATTTATTATTTTTTTAATGTGTATGAGTGTATTGCCTGCATGTATGTCACTGTACCCGTGTCGTACAATGCGGCAGAGGTCAAAAGAGGGCTTCAGATTCCCCTGGAACTGGAGTTAAAGACGGTTTATAGCCACCATGTGGATGCTGGGAACCAAACCTGGGTCCTCTGCAAAAGCAGTCAGTGCTCTTAACTGCTCAGTTATCTCTCCAACCCCAGGACAGCTGGACTTCTATATGGAAGAATAAAATGTTCAAATGTACAAGAATGGGTCAATGCTCCAGGTATAGTAAAAGCATGCCTATCAGTTAGATATAGTGTAACAGGCCTATTATCCCAGCATGCAGGAGGCTGAAAAAGAAGACTCAGAGTTAAAAAGGCTACACAGAAACACACACACACACAAAACCACAACAGGATGACCATAATCTATTAAGGTGTTAATGTCCAAATATAAGTTAACTCCTAAAACTAAATAAAAGATAATCTTTTTTTTTTTCGGTCTTTTTTTGAGACAGGATCCCTATAGTCACAGCTGGCCTGGGTTTGCTATGGAGACCAGGCTGGCCTTGAACTCAGAGAGATATACACTGCCTCTGCCTCCCAAGGGCTGGGATCAAAGGCGTATACCACCAAGCCCAGCTAAGACAATCTAATTAAAAGGACACTCTGGGAGCTACAGAAAGAGACTGTGCTAAAGACACAAGTTTGATTTTACTCATATGCGCTATCTAGAATAGGCAAATTCATAGCAAAAAAGTAAAACAAAACAGGCTGAAAGGAGGAATTGGTTATGGTTTAGATATCTATCTGTGTGGTTTCTTGAGACATGGTCTCACTATATAGCCCTAGCTGGCCTCAAACACAGAGCTCCACTTGCTTCTACCTCCCAAGTGCTGGATTATGGGCAAGCACCAGTGGTTACAGACTCAAGAAAAGTTCTAGAAGATAGATATAAATGTAATTAATGTCACTTAATATACATATATTTTAAATGGTAAATTATGTTACCAGAATAAAAATTGCAAGCAACAACAAAAAGGCTTAAATGATTTGCTGGTATTCCCTCATTCCCTAAAAAAAAAAAAAAATAAACCAAGTAAACATGGTACTTTGTAATTCCAGTACTAGTACTACCACCTACCACTCATCAGGAAGATCAGATATTCAAGGTACATAGGTAGGAGCGTGAGTCCTACGTGAGACACTGATATCCCCTCTAAAAACCCTAAAACCCCCAAACACTATCCCTGTTTTCCTCATAGTACTTAAGAAATATAAGAGCAGCAATTTCCAGAGCTAGGTCTGCAGTCTCAGTTTTGCTTTTGTTGTGTTTTGGGAGGGAGAGGTATATGATAGGGAAGGGAATCTGATAGGGTCACATTCCCAAGCTGGACTGGAACTCACTTAATGCAACCCAGACTGGACTCCAACTTGCAACAATCTTCTTTCTGAGTTCTAATGCCCTTGTTTCATTAGTTAACTGTTTTCTACTTTTCTGGACTGTAAACACCAAGGTTTTAATCACTCACACTTAGGAAAAGGTGTAACAATGACTGTATTCTCTGCATAACAGTGAGCTATCAGTATACCTTGGACCAGCCTGAGAAACTGAGCTGAAGGAAATCTGGCTTTTTCACTTCCATTTGGGAAACTTGTGTTCACCAACATCTAGTTAGAGAACAAAAAGAAATCTCATTTTCTCATGTGAAAATTAGGGGAGCTAGGCATGGTGACATACACCTTTGATCCCAGCACTTGGGAGGCAAAGGTAGGCAGACAAGATCTCTGAGATCGGGGCCACCTTGGTCTACATAGCAAGTTCCAGGCCAGCTTGGGCTACAGGGAGACAGTCTCAAAAAAGAAATTTCATCTTTCTGTTAAACACTTCCTGAAATTAAACATGGATCCTACATTTAAGTTAGAGGAAAAAAGAACTTAATAAAAACATAGTCAGAGCCAGCCAACACTTTGCCAGTAGATACTAATGGGTCCCCCCCAAAAAACCACTCCTGTATCTAGGGTAACACAATTGTGCTTCACATCCTGATGACCTCAGGACAACACATGATGGAAGGACAAGTTGTCCTCTGACCTTCACACATAATAAATGTAATAATGTGTAACAGACACACAATAAATGTAATAATGATGATGATAATAAAATGGCTGTGCCTGTTCTCCCAAGTTGGGAAGCAACAGAGACTGATACGGAATTATGGAAACGGGTTTAAGAAGTACAGCCTATATCCAAAATTGTAGGAAAATCCAGTAAAAAGCATACACATTTTGCTACTTTCTGCTTTTATCTCAGCAGTGATCATCACCCCCCTACCAGGGGGGTATTCTCAGAAGCTGTCAATAAATGTATTTGGTTAGCCTCATGTACACATTTGCATCTGCAAATGGTGTTTTATGATCACCAATGCTTACTATTCCTATCAGCCTTCCACACTAGCCAGCCACCTCTGGGTCACCCAGATATATAACTAATTCAGCTTTACATGTAAGTGGCAAGATCAAAATTGTAATGGGTCTCTAAAAGCTAGTCTGATTACTTACCTTTCAAAGAATGAGAAGAGGGCCAGGTGTGATGGCGCAGGCCTTTAATCCCAGCACTCAGGAGGCAGAGGCAGGCAGATCTCTGTGAGTTCAAGGCCAGCCTGGTCTACATGAGTTCCAGGCCAGTGCTACAGGGAGACCCTGTCTCAAAAAGACCAAAACAATAAGAATGGAAGAAGTTGGCCCAAATTCACCTGTGTCCTTGCTGAGATGTCAATAGCAAATGAACAGAAAGTATCTTGCCCTTCAACAGCATAAGCTGGAGGACCTCAAGATCATCACTCCCCTACCCATTAAGCAAGTGTGCTCCCACAAGAGGCAAGTTTTTTATTTTTCTATCACATTTACTTATTTATGTATGTGCACACACTTGCCACAGCACCACATATGAAGGTCAAAGGACAACCTGCAGGAGTCGGTTCACTCCTTCTACCATGAGTCCCAGGGATAGAACTTAAGTTGTTAGGTTTGGCAGCTAGCTGTCTTTACCCAATGTGCCACCTCGCCAGCCTAGAAGGTAGGCTCCTAAAAACTAAAGCAGAGATATGGTATATTGGTACCACACTTGCTGAGCATGTTCAAAGTCTTTGGTTTAATTCCCAGCATAACAACAAAACATTACACTTGGCTGAGAGAAGATAGTCTCATTCCAGCACCAACTATATCAACAACATTCAAAGAGGAGGGTTTAAGAAAATCTAAGAGCTACATCCCAAAGCTAGGATCATACCAAGGTCCTCACACAATAAGCAAGCATTCTACCACTGACCTATACTACCAATCTATTCAGTATCTTTTTTTTTAATCATGTAATTATAATGAGAACGTAAGAATTACAAGTGCTAGGCCAACTGGAAAAGGGGCTATACTTTGGTAAATGATAGGTGAAAAGCTAAAAGTAGGACTAGCAAGATGGCTTATTAAGTAAAAGTACTTCCACTCAAGTATAATGACCCAAGTTTGGTACCCTAATAAGTTTGATTCTTGGACTCTTGGTGGAGAATTGATTCTAGAAATTTGTTCTCTTCAACTCCACCCATGGTGTGCTGTTGCATGCATGCACACATACAAAATAACAAAAATTAAAAAACTAAAACTAACTAGAAGCCAGGTATGGTGGTGGCACATGCTTGTAATCCAAGTGCTCAGAAAACAGGTAGGAAGATCATCATTCCAAGTTCTAAGCCAGCCTGTTCTACACAGCTAGTTCCAGGCCAGTTAGGGTTTCAATAGCAAGATACTGTCTAAAGAAACAAACCTGGCTAGGCATGATGACTATACCTCTGTAGCACCTGGGAGGCAAAGGCAGAAGACCTGCAGGAGTCTGAAGCAAGCCTGGGCTATATATAGTTCAAAGACAACAGTCTATATACCAAGTTCCAGGGCAATCAGGTTTACATATTAAGACCCTGGATTACATTTTTTTTTTTTTTTTTCCTGAGATAAGAGTCTCCCTGAAGCCCCAGCTGACCTGGAACTCACATGTAGACCAGGCTGGCCTTGAATTCAGAGATCCACCTGCCTCTGCTTCCCAAGTGCTGGGATTAAAGGCCCTGTGCCACAACACCTGGCAAGACCCTATCTCAAAAACAATTAAAAAAATAAATTTGTGTATACAAGAGTGCCTGCATATATGTATGTATGTATGTGTACCATGTGCATGTCTGGTGCCTGCACGGGACAGAAGAGGGCGTCAGACCCCCTGCAACTGAAGTTATAGGCATTAGTGAGCCACCAGGTAGGTGCTGAGCACTGAAGTTGGGTCCTCTGCAAGAGCAACAAGTGCTCTTAACCACTGATACATGTCTCCAACTCTCTGAGAACAGGGCTTACTCTGGGGTAGCCTAGGATGGTCTGCAACCAGAGGCAAATCTACCTCAATCTCAGTTGTGGATTATATACATAGGCATACCACCATGCTTGGCTATTGTTTCCCTTTTATAAAATTTATTATTTTTATTTTGTGTATGAGTATATTCCCTACATGTATTGAGTACACCTGTGTCTTATAATGCCCGAAGGTCAGAAGAGGATGTCAGATCCCCTGGAGCTGGAGTTGCAGACAGTTGTTTGCCACCATGTGGGTGCTGCGAATCAGTCAGCGCTCTTCTTAACCACTGAGCCATCTCTCCAGCACCTTGTTTTCTTTTTAAAAACTTTATTATTTTTATGTGTATTAGTGTATTGCCTGCACGTATGTAAGTGCACTTGTGTCATGCAATGCCCATGAAGGTCAGAAGAGGGTGTCAGATCCCCTGGAACTGGAGTTATAGATGGTCTAGAGGCTGGGAACCAAATCCAGGTACTCTCTAAGAACAGCCAGTGCTCTTCATACCTGAGCATCTCTCCAAGCCCAGTTTTTTTTAAAACCTCAATAAAAACTGTAAGAGCTGACCTCTTCTTTCAAGTTATCAAATGTGACATGCTTTACAACTAGATGTGATCCTCTACTTTTGTTTTATCCCAATGTATCCGTGAGGTTCTTCTCAAATCTGTAGTAGTCCACAGGGCCTTTATGTTCTTCAGACTTCGCCATTATCCCACCCCCACAAACACACAAATTGCAGTTTTTTACACAAATACAGTATCACCCTTCTATTTGACATTCTTGTTCCTACCATCTTTCCAACCCTACCACCATTATTGTCTCATTAGCAGGCAGATGACTTACCCTCTCCATGTTTGTCAGTGAACTGGAAGGCCTGAACTAGTCTCAGAATCTCATCCACAGAGCGGCCAACAGGAAGGTCATTTATAGTGATCTGTCGAAGGATACCTTTGTCATCAATAATAAAGAGGCCCCTGGGAGGAAGAGATTGAAAGACTGAGAAAGAAGCAATGCAGGTCAGATTTTTTGCTTAATTAGAATACAGGCGTCTTGAAGTCCTATGGAAATGAGGTTGTCATTTCCATAGACAAGATTTATACCAGCCTTGCCACTGATGAAAACCCTGCAGTAAATAAATGAGGAAAAAGGACATAGCTAGGTTGACAGGGTGCCTGCCTAGCACGCGCAAACCCCTGGGTTTGATCTCCAATACCACAGGACATAGTGGTACAAACCTGTGATCCCAGTAATCAGGAGGCTGAGACAGGAGAATTAGGAGTTGATCACCCTTGGCTATATGGAAGTTCCAGACCAGCATGGGCCTACAAAGATACCATCTCTAAAATGGGGAGCTGGGTGGGGGATGTCCTAGGTATAGAGGCACTTGTCTATAAACTTAAACACTTGGGAAGCTGAGGCAGGAGGATCACTATAAGGTCAGCCTGAGCTATATAGGAAGTTCAAGGCCAGCTCAGGCTATATTATAGCAACACCGTCTCTCAAAAACAAAAACGAGGCTAGAAAGACGTCTCAGTGAAGTGCTTCTAAGCATGAGCACCTGAGTTTAATCCTTAGTCTGTATTTAAAAAGAAAGGATATTATCCCAACACTTGGACTGTGAAAACAGGCAGATCCCTAGGGCTTGCTGCTCTATCAGTCTACCCTAGCCTAGCCTAAGTCTAGCCTACCTTAGCAAGTCTGTGGCCAAGGAGACCGTATCTCCAAAAAGTGATAGATGGTGTCTGAGGAACAATGCTCAAGGTTATCCTCCACAAAGCATTTGTGCACATACACATATAGAATGAAACAAAAAGGAATCAGTGCTCTTCAGATCAGGGTTCTAATTTTTTCCAAGGAAACAGCTTTCAGTTAACAAGACAGTTCTTCTAAGTGCTCCCTCCTACCCAGAAGGTACATACCTGAAGGAGATACCTTCATCAGCTTTTAAGACCCCATAATCCTGAGCAATGGTGCGCTTGGGATCTGATACCAAGGGAATGTTCATGGGTCCCAGTCCTCCTTGTTTCTTGGGTGTGTTGATCCTACAACAAAAGGCATGCTTACAATCACAGTCATTCAAACCTATGTGAAGCAGAAATATTAACTGGACCTATACCCTATCTTCCCTATATCCTTAATCAAACTTTCCCCCAAAACCTCATTTTTTCCAACAATAAAGTGAATGTCTAAGAACACTTAAGGCTGGTCACCAGTGTATACTCAACTACAACTCAAACTGCTTTTTCTCTGTTGCCAGGTAATATGAGATCACAGCAGTAAGAAGTCAGAGCCCAGAAGCCAACACTTAAGTCTACTATCAAACCTCCAAATTGCTGCTCAAGAAATCCACAACATAACTGCCAGGTGTTGTGGTATACATCTGTAATGACACCTACTCAAGAGGCTAAGGCTGGATGTACTGCAAGTTGAAAGCCAGCCTCAGTTACATGTAATAAAATGTTTCTTCTAAAATTTTCCAAAAAAAAAAAAAAAAAAGAAAAAAAAGAAAAAAAAGTTCATGTGCCAAACAGACCAAGAACTTTACCATGCCAGATGACAGAAGTGAGAGTCCACAGACGCACCAATCACTTGGCAGTTGAGTTTCTTAAATTCTTCTGCCCTATCGCTGAAAGCAATGATCTCAGTGGGGCACACAAAAGTGAAGTCAAGAGGGTAAAAGAAGAACACAACATATTTTCCTGGGAAGAAAACAAGCAATTAAGAGGGGGGCTTTCAAACAGACTTTTGAGCTAGGGGTGATGATAGATGCCTGTAATTCTAGCACTCAGGAGACTGTGATGGGAGTATCTCCATGAGTTTGAGGCCAGGCTGAATTGCATATACAGTGAATACCAGGCAAGCCAGGGTTAGAAACCCTGTCTCAAAGAAAATACGTAAAACTCCAGCAGATTCCTTTGCTTAATATGAAATAAGTCAAGGACATATTCTTATAGGGGAGGCCCTTAAGTTTATGACACAGTAACCACGCACTATTAGGATCCTCACTACAGATGTCTTTTAGTAGTCACTTTTGTGGCAAGAGAGCTTGAATTTTAAAAAGTTCATTCAAGATTGATACTTTTTGGGCGTCCATGTTCTTTAGTTGCTAATTACAGAATAAACACTGTTCAGTCTAATTTTCATCTAAATATTATCATATACATCATGTTCTCAGGTGGGCATGGCAACTCAAGACTGTAATCCCTAGACTCTGGAAGTGCAGGCAGAAAGATGAGGAGTTCAAGGTCATCTTCAGCTGCATAGGGAGTTCATTAGCAGCAAGTCTGGGTAAAACAACAACAAAAACCCAGAAAGTCAAAATCCGAGCCTCAAAAAAAATTTTTTTTATTTTGTGTGTACGTTTTGCCCGCATATAAGTAAGTATACCACATGCACACAACGCTACGGATGCCAGAAGGGGATGTTCCTGAACTGGAATTACAGATGGTTGCTAGCCACCATGTCTGTAAGGGAACCAAATTCAGGTCCTTCTCTAAGAGGTCCAACTCCACATGTCAGAGCCTTTATAAGCTGTGGGAAGGTAATTAACCATAAATGATCTCATGGGCAATTTTAAAAAATTTTTATTTTATGTACATGCGTGTATTGCCTGCATGTAGGTAAGTGCACCTGTGTAGTGCAATGCCCACAGAGGTCAGAAGAGGCTGTTGGATCCCCTGGGACTGGAGTTACGGATAGCTGTTAGCTGCCATGTGGGTGCTGGGATTCGAACCTGGGTCTTCTGCAAGAATAACCAGTGTTCCTAACCACTGAACCATCTCTTCAGCCCCTCATGGGTAATTTTTAAAAACTTTTTTAGGTGTGTGTGGGGGACTGTGAGAGGGCATACACATGCACACATTAGAGTGAATGAACTCAAAAGAACAGAAGACAACCTTCAGGAGTTGGTTCTCCTCTATTCTGCTTCAGGTAGGGTCTCTTGTTTCTGTTGCTACACTGTGGGAACTCCACACTAACTTCAAGCCGGTCAACATTATTTTCCTACCTTCATTTTCCCATCTCTAATAGGACTGCTGAGATTACAGGAGCACATCATGGCATTCAGCTTTTTAAAAAATTTTATGTGTATAAATGCTTGCATGTATGTATGTAACTTTGCATCACATGCATAGTGCTCAGGAGGACAGAAAAGGAAGTCAGATCCCCTGAAAATGGAGTTACAAATGGTTGTGAGCTACTATATGGGACCCCAAACCCAGTCCTGTTAAGAGCAACAAGTGCTCTTGACGGGAACCATCCATCTAGTCCTGCAACCAACTTTTTATGTGGGTTTCATGGATTGAACCTGGTCCTCAGGCTTGTGTAGCAAGGATTTTTGTCCACTAACCCATCTTCCCAGCCCTCATGGGTCATGTTTAAGAGATCTTATGAACCACAATAAATATCTATTTTTTTCATCTTTTTGAGACAGGGTCTCCCTGTAGCCCCAGCTGGCCTGGAACTCGCTGTGTAGACCAAGCTGGGCTCGAACTCACAGAGCTCTCCCTACCTCTGCTTCCTGAGTGCTGGGATTAAAGGTGTGCACCACCACACCCGGCAATAAATGCCTTCTTAACCAGTCTGACAGGACAGGACAAGAAAAATGTTGCAATCAAGAGTACACAAAGTACTGGTAGGTAAAAGAATTTCTAACTCCAATTTTACTTTAGTAACTCAGATTATCACCAAAGTAAATCAAACAAGCCACACACCCCTCAATATACCTAATGGCTGAGCTACTGGAACATTTCCAAATATCCACTTATTTCCAGGTACCAATAATGTTAAAAAGTCAAAACAAGCAGTCCTTGACTCATCTAAACCATCTCTCCACAGCTTTACTTAAGCACTTGGAAGCTTCAGTAGGCCAAGCTCTAGAGGAGCAGAGAGAGCCAGGGCTACTTCCCTAGGGATGCTACTTAAATTGTCAGTAAGATTTTCTCCAAAGGGCCTACAATATCTGCGGTCACCAACCATAAAGTGTGATATTGGGAAATCTGAGTATTTTACCCAAAAGATAATTGCAAAAACCCACATAGCACTAAAAAGGTATACTTAACACCCAAGTCTCAAGGTTTGCACCTAAAGAATCTATATTCTCAATTGTTCCAAGAGACCTAGATACTCTAGACTATTGCAACGCAAGAAGGGAAGAACATCAATAGAAGCTGCCAAGTATCTACATGAAACTTTGGCAATACAAAGTTGAGTTATAGTATCAACTCTTCCCTGGGAGTAAAACTGTCAAGGAAATGTGCCAAAGCCCTTTCTCTAATTACTAATTACACCCATTTTAAAAAAATCAAAGCCACAGCTCCAAAGACTTGAGCTCTGAGACTAACTGTAGAAGTCTTTTTAAAAAAAAAGAGAGAGAAGGGCTGGGAATAGGGCTCAGTGGTAGAGTGCTGCCTAACATGTATGAGGCCCTAGATTCAAGCCCTAGTACTCCAGTGCTTAATTTAAAAAAAGGAAACAAAAGTCAGGTATGGTGGTGCATGCCTGTAGTCCCAGCACTTTGGAGGCAGATGGATCTCTGTGAGTTCAAGGCCAGCTGGGGCTACAGGGAAACCAACTCAAAAGGACCGAAAAAAAAAAGTGAGAATTTTTCAAATATAACTGAGAAGTATCACTAAAATATAATTGTGCTAGTATGTCAGACAAAATGAAGCATTTCTCTAGAATTGGATTATACCCTGTGATCATTGTTATTGATAACCACCAGTTTGATGTTGAAATCAAAACAACAGCTTTTCTGCCCAATGTAATCAGTCTTACCTCTGTATTCACTTAGACTGATATCTCTGAATTGACCATCTGGCATAACGGCTGTGGCTTTGAAGTTGGGGGCAGGATGCCCAATTTTGGCAGTTCCTGAAGACATCTTGCTTTTAGCTGGAAAAGGTAACAGAAAAAAAATTGTAAACAAGGGTTTTATTTTTCTAAATAACCAATATCTTTCACTTACTTAGGAACTTACCTATAGCTCAATCAAAGAGTTCTCCAATGGCCAGAAATAAAATTTTTTTTGTCCATTTTGAGACAGGGTCTCCCTGTAGCCCCAGCTGTCCTGAAACTCACTATGTAGACCAGACTGGCCTCCAACTCTGCCTGCCTCTGCTTCCCAAGTGCTGGGATTAAAGACATATACCACCACACCGGGCCCATTTAAACTTTTATATTAGAGTAAGCACAGGCTGACAGTCAAGGGTCACCATCCAAACTCTTCAACTTCTGGATCAAAAAAGTCTCTGTATATCAGTCTTTACAAAAATGGCTCGTTTGTCTAAATGACCTTTATTATTTATTACCCTTTCTGAATGTTTCCATAATAGCATCTTATTTAAAATATTCATTAAACAGAAGAAAGGGAAAGACTCAAGAATCTAAGTAGCACAATGCCAGGACATTGGCATTTACCCAGTTTTGTCTTCTATCCTTCCTGAGCACTGCACGACACGGGTGCACTTACCTACATGTAGGCAATACACGCATACACATAAAATAAAATATTAAAAAAAAGAACTACTTTATTTTAAAAAACCGAACTTGGACTAGATTTATCCAGGTCAATACCAGGATAAATTCATCAGTCTAAAAGCTCTAAGTCCCAAAGTACGTGGCTCAAATATCATAAGGAAAGTTGGGAGCACCAACCCTCCTAAACTTTACTGTTTTTTAATTTATAAATCTTTAACCAGGCCATAATTTTGGGACTACCTAACATAAATGGTCTTCTTGACCACGCTTGCTTTGGAAGATGGCCTCGCATATCCAAAGCCCAACCAATCCCGGAAGAGTGACTTCCTGCAGCCAAGCGCAGCTGCCTCTGAGGAATCGACTAGAACGCCAGAGGCCACGCCCCAGCGCCACTAAAGGGACTATCCGGCCCCACTCGTACGCCCACGCGAACACCTCCAGAAAATCCCCAAGCGATGGAGGGTGGTATGAAGAGGCGAGGAGACTCCATCACCCTTCCCGCCGCGCCCAACAACGCCCTGTGCGTAGACTGCCTGAAGCGGGAGACTGGACATTCGCCCTAGGGTTCCAACAGGTCCCGGTCCTCAGAGGGCCGACTGAGGACTCGGGACCAGGCCTCGCCTGGCCGCCTCAGCCCACAGCAGCCCCAGCTGGGCGCAGACCAGCCGGGGAGAAGGAAACGGCCACTAGCGGGCGTGAGGCGGGGCCCCGCGGCCCGCTGCCCGCACACTCACCAGGCCCGATCCGCAGGTCTCCAGACAGCACACGCAGGGCAGGAAGACGCCTAAGGCACGTGGGGCGCTGCTTTTATAGCCCCTAAGACTCTCGCGAGACTCGGAGCGGACCCGGGGTGCCGGACCAGAGAGACTAGGGGTTTCTGCCGAGCCCCGCCCCGCGGGTATGACTCAGCGCTTTCTCCTAGGCCGGGGAGGTGGTCTTGAGAAGCACACCCCCCTTTCTGCCTCTGGCGGCAGAGTGTCCTTCAGATCCTGTCAGGATCTCTGGAGAGCCCGGCCTCCACTCCCAGGTCCTCTGTGTGCTGCACCTGAAGATCAAACCAAAGTAAGGGTCTTTGCTGCCCACGACAGACCGTGTCTGTTCTCCCAAGTTCGGAGAACTATGCACCCAAATACTTCCTAGTGCGTCCCTGCTTCAGAATCCTGCTCTAGGCTGGTCCTCAGTAATCCTTATCACTTGGGCAGCCTACTCATTGATCTCTGTGATTGCACGGATGCTTTTTTCGCGTATCCGTCCATTTCTTGCACTGCTCTTGAAGACTTTCTGAGCTGGGAATGGTGGCACAAGCCTTAGGCAGGAGGATTTCTGTGGGTTCCAGGCCAGCCAGGGCTACATAGTGAGACCTTGTCTCAAAACAAAAAAAAAAGTCCTCTAAATCTGATCCTGTCACTCCTGATGTCAGATTTGTGGTTTAAAAACTGGGGCTCTGTAGCCAATTTCCTGCGTTAAAGCTCATGGTTATTTATGTGTAATTACCTTATGTAATTTAAATTCCATTCCTTGCCTAGAAAATAGAAGTAATTCTAATATTTTAATTGAAATAATTAATGTAGTTTATTTAGTACAATGTCTAGGTTTTGGCCTGGAACTCATGCTCCTCCAGGCTCAGTCTCCTGAATGCTGGAATTACAGGCTTGCATCACCAAACGTATAGTTCTTACTATATGTTAGAAATGTTAACTTATTTATTCTATAATCTACATCTCCCCCAATAACACCCTGAACTGCTTCAGGTGTGTTTTTTGTTCAAGCCAGGGAAAACAGAAAACAGATCTGAAGACTCAGCCAAGCATTACTTCTGGTAAACCTGCTCTTGACCTTGGTTTATATTGCAATATCTCTCAAGATGTTACTGATTTTCATTCATCCCTTGAATTTACTGACCTTTACCTCCGTTATGCCCAAACAGTAACTTGTATAGCCAAGAAAAAAAAACAAACCTTTGAGTTAATTTGTTTACATGTCTGTCTTCCCGGTCTAGACTTTCTAGAGGGTAAGATTTAGATGATTTCCACCTCTGTATCCTCATGTAACACAGCATGTGATAGAAAACAGGAACTCAGCTGGAGAGATGGCTCAGCAGTTAAGAACACTGTTCTTGCAGAAGACCTGGCTTCAAATCCCAGCACCCACATGGCCGCTAACAACTGTCTGTAACTCCAGCTCAGGGGACCCGACAGCCTCTTCTGTCCTCCGTGGGCATTGCATGACACTGGTGTGCTTATCTACATGCAGGCAATACATGCATACACATAAAATAAAAACAATAAATAAAATCCCTTTAAAAAGGAACTCAATGAGCATTTAATCAATAGTATTATGTCCCTCTCTGACTCTTGGATAGGATAACAAATGGGGAAGTGCTTTGTCATGCTGGCTGAGCATCTTAATTTTTTGGTATTTCTCATCCTTCCCTACAACACTAGTGATTTTCTTTTTCCTTCTCAGCTTGAGGTTGACTAGTTATTTGGCATTATTCATTCCCAGTTAGTGGAGGAGTTAACTCCCATGATTGCCATGGCTTTTAGACTAGGGTAAAAAATGGGGAAATGCTACATCATGCTGCCTGTGCATCTCAATTTTTTTATGTTTGGTATTTTTTATCAGACAACAGTAGTTTTTGTTGTTTGGTTTGGTTTGTTGTTTTGATATGTGTAAGTATGTGGATGTGGATGTGTAAGTGTGGTATATGTTCATCTGTGTGCGGGAACATGTGCCTGTGCACATGTGTGAAGGCCAGAGGAAGATGTCGATGTCCTGCTCTATTGCTCTCTGCCATATTCCCTTGAAACAGGAACTCTCACTGACCCTGGAGCTGGGCTGAGATCTTCCTGTCTCCCCCCCCCCCCCCACTGCTGGGATTATAGACACATGGAACCATATGCTAGAACCTGAACTCAAGCCCTCATGCTTGTGCTGCAAGCGCTCTTACTCACTGAGCCATCTCTCCAATCTTTGTCAGTTTTTTTTCCTTTTTCCTTTTCACCCTGAGGCTAAACATGTCTCATAATTAATTTCTTTCTTATGAAAGCAGGATGAGCATAGAAGTTCAGAGATTTTTGTTTGTAGAGGCAGGGAGACCCTATCACAAAAAGACCACAAAAAAAAAAAAAAAAAAGAGTTAGTTTTCTCCTACCATGTAGGTCCCAGGGATGGAATTTAGGATGTCAGGCTTGGTGGCAGGCACCTTTACCTGCCGAGCAAAAATGGTATGTGTGTGTGTGTGTGTGTGTGTGTGTGTGTGTGTGTGTGTATTTGGTACTAAATTGTTGGTTTTCACGGTCTTTAGGTGAGTCTTTGTTGGAAGAATTACTTGGAATCAGAGTAAACTGAGAAAATGCTTGCATCTGTAATCCTAGTACTCCAGAGGTAGAGAGAGGAGGATCAGGAATTCAAAGTCAGCCTGTAGAAAACAGTTCAAGTCAGCTACTTGAGACTTGGTCTAACAAAGTAACAAAAGCAGTCAAGTGTGGTGGTGCACACCCTTTAGTCCCAGCACTCGGGAGGCGGCAGCAGGAGGATCTCTGTGAGTTCGAGGTCAGCCTGGTCTACATAGCGAGTTCCAGGACAGCTGGGGCTACAGGGAGACCCTGTCTCAAAAAGAGAAAAACAAAACAAAACAAAACAAAAAAACCAGCCATTATTCCTTCTTCATAGCTAACTAAGTACAACAAGTAAGGCAATAATGAGTTGAAAGCAGAAGTCAAGTCCATGATCATTTTTTATATCAAGACTTGCTGGCCTAATAACCGCCTGCCATAAACATATAAACTATTAAAATTAAACCTATAAGCCATTAAAGCTAAGTGCTTTCATTTAATTGCAGCAACAAATACAAAATAAAATCATGGAAACCAAACCCACAGGACCGCTGTGTTATGAGGTCATCCCAATGATTCAGAATATGTTTAAATTGCATATGATGATACATACCTATAATCCCAGCACTCATAAGGCAGAGGCACAAGTAGAGGTGAGATGATTGCTGCAAGTTTCAGGCTAGTTTGGTTTACATAGTGAGTTCCAGGTCAGCCAGCTAGGCTATGTATGAAACCTCTCTTTAAAAAAGAAATATTTGGGGGGCCGGAGAGATGACTCAGCAGTTAAGAGCACTGCCTGTTCTTGCAGAGGACCCGGGTTCAGTTCTCAGCATCCACATGGCAGCTAACCACTGTAACTCCAACCCCAGGGGATCTGACGTCTCTTCAGACCTCTCTGGGCATTGCTTGACATGTGCACTTACATAATGTAGGCAATATACTCATAAAATGAAATAATAAAAGATTTTTTAGAGTTGGTATTAAACTTGCCATCTGTACATCAGGAATATATATTTTTTTATTATTTTTATTTTATGTGTATGAATGTATTGGCTGCATACCTGCATGTATGTAAGCATCCCTGTGTTGTACATTGTCTGTAGAGGTCAGAAGAGGGCATTGGATCCCCTGGAACTGAAGCTACAGATGGTTGTTAGCTGCCATGTGGGTGCTGGAAACCAAACCTGGACCCTCTGCAAGAACAGCCAGTGCTCTTAACCACTGAGCCATCTCTTCAGCTGCCCAACTTTTTTTTTTTAAAAAAAGAGAGGTCTCATACATAGCCTTGGTTGACCTGGAACTCACTGTGTAAACCAAACTGGCCTCTAACTCAAGAGATCCATATGCCTCTGCCTCCCTAGTGCTGAGATTAAAAGCATATGCTACCACCTTGCCCATCTAGAGCCATATCTGTATAAACATAAGCATTTTTCTGTTATTTCTCAACTTTAGCACTATTGTCATTTAAAATCTGATTAATTCCTTATGGGATGAGGGACTATCCTGTGATAATAGGATATTTAGTAACATCTTGGCCTCTGCTCTATAAATTCTATAGCACTCCCTGCACACACTCCCCCACACACATTGCCAGCTGCCCTCTGAGGGACAAAATCATCCCAAGTTGAGAACCACTAGAGAAAACCAAATAATGACCAGTGGACCTCTAGTTTATCTCTGGCTCATTTGACATCATTGGCAGGGCTAGTTTTACCTAGAACAGGGTGAAAAAAAATCCTCATGTATCTATACTTGTAGCCATTTGTCCTGGGAAAACCTTCCCCAAAAGGGTGCCTTTCTTACCTAAAGCATTGCAATAAGAGAATGATGTTGGGCCTAGACAAGCACTCTCTGTAGTGTCTCTGGCTCATTCTTAAGACAGTCATTTTGCCATTGACAGAGAGTGAGGGTGTGACAAAAATTACAGACTCAGAGAACTAACTCATACAGTTGGGAAAGGAGAGCTATACCTCTAGGCAAGCAAGCCTCACTGATTCATTAATTCTTAGCCCCACCACACCTCTAACAAGCAGGGATCCCGCCTTTCTTGATGCCCTTAGTCATGTTCCCTTGGCAGACTGCAAGTGGTAATTCTAGAGGCTTCTTTACATTCTCTTCTGCCACTTTCCCCAAAGGAATGCTAAGGCTGACAAGTGGACCCCAACTGAGACCTCTAAGACCAGAGATGGTTTAAAGCTGAGTCATCTTATATGGGTGAACAGGTGGAACACCTGATAAAAGAGGCTAGTAGAGGTCTGGTAACCTGCCCCTAAATGTGAACCATAGTTCACTGCCAGGAAAGGCAGGCCTTTTCTAGTTCTAAAGTAACAAAGCACACACACATGAAACAAAACAACTCTTCACATCTTTGAAGCCAGATTTATATTAAACATTTCCATTACCTCAACTACTCATATGTGACAGTTTCCCAAACCCCTGCTGCTACCTCCCTGTGGCACTTAATTTGGCATCACTACTTCCTCAACATCAGACTTCTGACCCCTTTCTTCTCCTCCCTCCTGCTGCTCTAGCCATAAGGTGCTATTTGTA